AATAGTCACTGCCATACACGACCAATAGTCACTGCCATACACGACCAATAGTCACTGCCATACACGACCAATAGTCACTGCCATACACGACCAATAGTCACTGCCATACACGACCAATAGTCACTGCCATTCACGACTAATACTCACTGTCATACACGACCAATTTTCACTGTCATACACAACCAATGCTCACTGCTATACACGACCAATACCATTGATATAGTCATCTAATTGATGAGTTGGGTGTTGAGTTTTGGCTCTTTGGTCCCGCCACTCTACTGTCAATCTAATGGTGTTCAGATTCTGGAGCCTATTGTGCTCTTTAAACTTTAGCAGCTCTTTTCTAAACAATTTATCCAGTTTATTCAAGTCGTTCTGTAGTCACCGAATATCTTCATCTGTCTTGATTATTCTCATAATTCTTGCGTCATCACCAAACATTTAGAGAAATGAGCCTTTACCCTCTGGAAGATCGTTTACACATATCATAAAAAGGATGAATTCAAGTACATAGCCGGGTGAGACTCCACTGGTGACATCTCGCCACTCACTGTCGTGTACACTGGCGTACACGATGTCTGTCCCCTCACAGTTACACGCTGTTTCCTGTTTCTTAGGTACTCCCTTATCCACTTGAGCACCTTACCTTTAATACCTCCCTGTTTCTCATACACAACTAATACTCACTGCCATACACGTCCAATACTCACTGCCATACACGACTAATACTTACTCTCATACACGATCAAATCCTTACTGCCATACTCGCTACATACTCAGTCATACTCGATCAATATTCACTGTCATATACAACCAATACCCACTGCCATACACGACCAATTCTCATTGTCTTTCTCAATCAAAACTGACTGTCATATATGCCCAATACTCACTGCCATACACGACCAATTCTCACTGCCATACACAATAAATACTCGCTGCCATAAACGGCAGTACTGTGATATATACAACCAGTACTTATTGCCATACATGCCAATACTGCCATAGCATTGCAATACACGATGAATACTCACCAACATACGCGACAAATACTCACTGCAATACACAAATAGTACTGTCATACTCGACCAGTATGCACTGTTATAAACAACCAATACTCAATGCCATACACGAAAAATTCTCACTTCCATTTACAACCAATTTTCACTGCCATACACAAGTAATACTCGCTGCCATACATGAGGAATATTCATCAATATACACGACCAATACTCACTGTGATGCACGGCCAATAATCACTACCATACACGACCAATTCTTGCCACTATACACTCCCAATACTCACTGCCATACACGACCAATACTCACTGTCATTCACGATCAATACTTACCGCCATTCAGGACCAATAGTCACTACCATTCACGACCAATAGTCACTACCATTCACGAGCAATAGTCATTACCATTCACGAGCAATAGTCAGTGGCATGCATTACATGACTCGGTCATGCACCAGCACGAGGGGTGACTATATTAACTGTGCAGATGCGCAACTCGCCATGGACAGTCGAAATCAGTTGCGTGAGGCTGAAGAATCCGTCACTTAGTTGCTTGTCTGCCTGCCTGCCTGTCAGCCGTCGGGAGGATCTCCCGCTCCAGCACACTATAACACCCTCACTCGAACCATCGTGGTCCCCGTCACTCGAACCATCGTGGTCCCCGTCACTCGAACCATCGTGCTCCCCGTCACTCGAACCATCGTGGTCCCCGTCACTCGAACCATCGTGGTCCCCGTCACTCGAACCATCGTGCTCCCCGTCACTCGAACCATCGTGCTCCCCGTCACTCGAACCATCGTGGTCCCCGTCACTCGAACCATCGTGGTCCCCGTCACTCCAACCATCGTGGTCCCCCACCCTGTGGAGACTTTAAGATTTACATAATAGTCGGCGTCTTCTGCTCGACTTTCCAAGTTCTGGTACGGGCTATTCCCTCCCTGGTCTGAGTGTGACACATAATGTTTCACTGGTGTGCGAGCTGTCATACTGGTCTGAGTGTGACACATAATGTATCACTGGTGTGCGAGCTGTCATACTGGTCTGAGTGTGACACAATGTATCACTGGTGTGCGAGCTGTCATACTGGTCTGAGTGTGACACATAGTGTATCACTGGTGTGCGAGCTGTCATACTATCTGAGTGTGACACATAATGTATCACTGGTGTACGAGCTGTCATACTGGCCTGAGTGTGACACATAGTGTATCACTGGTGTGCGAGCTGTCATACTGGTCTGAGTGTGACACATAATGTATCACTGGTGTGCGAGTTGTCATACTGGTACAGAGGGTAGATGTGTTTCTCCCTTCCAGTCAGTGTCCGGACCACACACTCGTCGATGAACCAGCATCATAAAGTTGATTCCCTTGCGAAAATTTCACTAAATATGAACAATGTTGAGCAGAATCTTTAGGGACCTATTTGATAACTCAAGATTCTGCTCAACAGTGTAATTAGACAATAACTCTTAAATGAATTTGAAAAAGCAGAATACTGTAAACAGGAACTAGCAGGTTCATTGTTGTTTACAGTGTGGTGTGTCAAACAAAACAGGTGTATGGGGCGAATAAAAAAATCTATAGACTAACAGATTTTGTCACAGCTGGAATACGACTTATCTCTGGTAGTTCGACTTGTATAGGGATCTGAATGATGTAAAGTGTACAGTGTGTGGACAAAGTCAGGAACACACACTTGAGCATTACATCTTAGAGAAATAGTCATGACAAGTGATGTAACATTACATCACTTAAAATGAGACAAAGTTCAGCCATTTACAGATAAATCTAAACTTACGCAGCATGAAATGGCAAACCATCTTATTAATTGGCATTAAATATGTTAAATCCTTGCACTGTATCCAAGTTTCGCTTCCAGTAAATAAATGACTTATGAGATTAAGGAGCAAGCAGTGTAGTGTGGATAATAATAACAGCATCTTTCCTATGACTCCTGAAATACCTTCAAACGTAAAGCAGTTATTTATTAGAGAAAAGACTTAGCATTAATGTATAATGCTCAGTTGTAAATACATAGCTATTGAAATTTCAAAAAATCTAACTAGCTGATATTATAATTACAAGTTGTGCAAGATAGATGTAATTATTAATGTAATAATCTCTGTTGAGATCTGATAAAGACCTTTTGAGCTCTCTGTAATACTTTTTGCTCTATGGCTCACGAGATGAGTATCGGGTGCACAATAAGCCGCTTTCGGCGGCAAAAATCAATCGATAAGCCGGATAACTATCACCTCAGAGCAGTTCAGTCTCATGTAAGCCTTTCCCTAACCCTGAGTTACTATAGAGTCCTAGAGTCTACCCGCAATGCTATGTGTCTTAGTGGCTTTGCAAGGATGTAAGAACACCAGTGATATATACTCTCACGAAATCAATGTACCTTCGTGTATCAATAAATAAATAAATAAATAAATAAATAAATAAGGTGCTGTTATGTGTAAGTCAGTTATGAGTAATACTCTAAGTTTTTCTTACTACTGTCAATGTATAAATAGGAATGAGTTAGTTTGATGAAACAGCTGGTAATATAATTAGTTTCACTATCTAATAAAAAAAACAAAATCTAATAGTATAGAGTATTATTTAAAGAAAAACAAAGAGCATTTTCTATAATGGTAGCAATACAAATAAATGGAATAGAGCTACCAATGGTAACGTTGATAGTGGTGATAATAATAAGAACAATGCAGGTAATGGTGTTTATGTCATACAGTATAATGATTGCAATTTATCACATGTTGCAGAGACTGGTCGTGGTTTATTGAAAAAGAGTTGATGAATAGAAAAAAGCAGTAGCAAAATTGGACAGGAATAATGTTATATATCCATTGTTGAGATTTTTATCATAGGATGGAATGTAATAACAGTCGAATTGTATACAACTGCTCATATGTAGAAGAGAAACGCCTAATAGAAAAAATAATATTCAACAGATTCAGTAAAGGACAAAATATATGTTATAGTAAAGTGAGAATATAACCATAATTAACATAAAACCATAAAAACTAGGATTAACCATAAAACTATTGTATAGGAGGCAACACTAACTAATCTCATTAATTCACATAAGTACTGATATCCAGAGTAGGGATAATGACTCCGCGGAACCCTGCCCACAGTTCCTAGAAATCAGGATAACTGAGCATTCTTCTGGAACTTGAACATTCCTTGGCGAGTCCCCAGGAAGCATCACAACATGTGATGATGGAGGACAAGTGAGGCGCTCTGCCAGATTTATAAACGCAAACTCTTAGATTATTCTTCAGTACGTTGTATACAGCACCTTGAGAATGATTGTAGGTAACAACCGAAAATTTGGTTTGTAATACACTTACATAAAGTTGGTGTTTTCTTCCCCTTCATTGAAGCACTACAGCATTATAGAAGGTTCTTAATATATTTTCTGAGATACCTGTACATTTTTTTTTTACTGTTATATAATAATACATTTTCAGAGTGAATTGGAAATGGGATTATGTAGGGTGGAGAGTAAGAGAAATGGAGGAGAGGGATGAAATGGGGGGATCCTTGGGGATGGGGTAATGGGGGACACGGGGTGAAGAGCAGGAAGAGGGGGAATAGTGGACAGTGGGGCGAAGCAAATGGGTACCCGGGCGCATCCGGGTACCTATTCTAAATGTATATCAAGTGAAATGTTTCTGTCCAAAGTTGGAGAGGAGGAAAGATAGTGGTGAGAGGGAGGAGTGGTAAAGTGAGAAAGAATGGGACAGAGGAGGGGGAAGGGGGGTGGGTATAGGGGGGGGAGGGGGGAAAGAAGAGTGGTAGAAGGTGGCGTGGGTGACCATCGGACTACCCCCGGCACCGCCGGGGATCCCATCAAGTGACCTATAAAGAAAGAGCTATGAATTATTTCCACGTAGAGTGTTAAACATATGAAGATTTAATTCCTTCTTGATTATTTTGAAGATTATTTATAAATGTTATACTCTGGCATCTTCAGGAAAGACGGAGTTGTGCTATGAGGTGGCGGTGCCAATTAGATCCTCATTCTTCTCCGGCTCACTACACGTGTTTGGCAGTGTCGGTGGTGCCAAGATCAACCGGACTGTTGGGCTTAGCCTGACGACCTACAGGAGCAATACTTACATCCAGACAGACAAGTACCTGTATAAACCAGGCCAGAATGTTAAGTTCAGACTCCTTTCTGTCACAGGAGTCTTCCTCAACGTCTCTACTGACCCGGTGAGTTACTTCAACAACTCAGTCAATGAGTGAAGGGACGACGACGTTTCGGTCCGTCCTAGACCATTCTCAAGTCGATTGTGATTATCAATCAACTTGACAATCAACTTGAGAATGGTCTAGGACGGACCGAAACGTCGTCGTCCCTTCACTTTCTAGTATGTTGTCTGGTCAACATATTTCAATCACGTTATTGTGACTCATCATCTGAAGTCAATGAGGCTAAAGCCGCCTCCGTCATGTGTGCCATGTAATAAAGAATTATTTCATCTGTAACTGAGAAATAAAATATTGTCAGAGAAAACTAAACTAAGTAAAAATAGTTCTGAAGTGCAACTAAATATACCAGCTTATATAAGAAGATTTTAAGCTAACCGGAACATGACATGAAAGAAAGTTTGAGGAAATTTTCAGAAACTGGAAAATTATGCTCTAAATTAGATGGAAATTATCATTACTGATAAAAACATTTGAATATATGTGCATGACTAAAACTATATATATATATATATATATATATATATATATATATATATATATATATATATATATATATATATATATATATATATATATATATATATAAAAAGTTTGTGAGGGTACCACCTCTGGTGCCAATGTGGGGACCCATAGCCTCGGAGAAGAAAATAAAAAGTATTCAGAGGAGACCTTGTGGTCTCTCACTGAACACTAATATTATCTTCTCCTACCACCCCCATTCTTTTGTATGTACACATATATATTTACTTTATTTGAACTTTGTTACAAAAAAGGAGTTACATATGGGTTACAAAGATGGTTGTCATAGGTTGTCGAGTTCCTCCAGCTCCTCGGATGGCGGGCAGGAACCCTGGATGCAGTGCGCATTTCCCCTCTGTATCGCCACACTCAGGCGCTGGAAAAGAAAGCTTGCAGCTCTCGGGTCCCTTGTTGTTTCAATGAGCCTAGAACCCAGTTCCTTCAAAAAACTGGTAGCACTTTTACCCCAGGCGTCGAGCGTCTCAGAAGCAATGGGGACAAAATTGTAGTGGTGATCCAGTTCTCTATACTTACGGGATTTGGCTGCTTCCCTGTGGGTGGCAGCGCCACCTGGTTGTGCAACACTGAGGTTAATGTAGGTGTTAGCCAGGGTTGATACGCACGTGTAGTCCCATACCAACTGCTTGCCATTCTTCCAGGGGTTCACTGTGATACCATCCGGGCGACCAATAAGAGCATCAGAGTTACGGGGCGTTAGGTAACGGGGCTCTCTTTCAGCTGGGCATCCAGCTGTAGTGAGGCTCCTCTTGATGATGTCGTTAACTTCACTGTGCCTCGAGTGCCATCCCCCTGTGCTTTGGCAGAGTAGGCCGTGGTGACCGTACCTGTCAGCCACCACCTCGCCGCAAATACACCTATATCTGGTGTGGATTGGGGCAGCAAGGCGGAGGGCCACAGCAATTCGGAGGGCGTGTGGTGTGAGACGCGTGCCAGTTGCCGACATTGGGGTTGCTAACAGGAAATCCCCTGCATGTGGTGCTGCTACTGCTGTGAGGCGAGCAATGTCGTGTTGTGTTGTTGCAGCACCCAGGCACTCTGCAGCAACTTGGTCTACAATGGGACCATCCCAGCTGGATTGCTTGTGGGATTTTGGGGATGGTGGTTGAGGTGATTGGCCTGCACGAGAGGCCCACTCTGTGGCACAGCGTGTAAAATTGGGATCATGTACACCTGCCAGCTGATGTAAGTGGGCAGGTAGAATTTCCTTCACAAGGTCGTCGGATGCTGATAAGGAGGACAGGAAGGCTGGAACAGCGATTTGCGTTGCTGTTCGAACTCCGAGGCCCCCAAGTCTTACGGGAAGAGAGGCTTGTTTCCACTGTAGGTCATCGAGAGAGAGGTTAAGGGCTTTTTCTAGCATTGATTTCAGTAACCGGTCATACTCACTTAGTTTTTGGCTACTGTAAGATGGTGAACACCTCAGAAAGTAGGTTAACCTGGGGAGGGACAGACATCTGGTGATGAGGTAGAGTGCATCATGAGCATCAATATCCTCAATCCTCCCATCCATCCTCTTAAGGTCGGCGATTTTCTTATCAAGGACCTCATCGATGGCTTTCAACCCCAGGGGAGCTCCTAGGAGTGTGCTGTCTTCAGGTTTAGTTTTATGGATATTTGGCAGAAGACCCTCTATTCTCTCTACGATGCCCTGGTTGGAACATATTATTTCACATTTAGAAGGGTTCAGGGTGAGGCCTAAAACTGCACCTTGCTCCTGGATTTTTCTGATGTCCTCCAGGAGGGAGTCTTGGGAACCAGCTAGGGTACCATCATCCAAGAACCAGATGTTAAGCTCGCTGGACAGGACCTCTGTGACTTGTTTGATGACTAAGTAGAAAAGGAGAGGAGCGAGGGGGTCACCCTGTTGGACGCCTTCTCGCGAGTCAATTTCATGTTCGCCAAAAAGTAGCTTAAGATCCATACTGTAGCATGAATGTACAAAAGGGTAGAGGGAAGGGAAATGACTATGAACCGCACGGAGTACAGCATCCCTCCTATATATATATATATATATATATATATATATATATATATATATATATATATATATATATGTGTGTAGGCTGGTATAATATATATATATGTATATATATATTATTAAATATGACCGAAAAAGTAAGATTAATAATTCTAACACGAATTTTCTCAATCTTTCGTACATTTCGTTTCACTGTTGGAGGTAAATCAAAAATCAATTCTCCAAAATTCATTTTTATTTATTTTTATTTATTTACTTTTTATTTATTTTTATTTATTTTTATTTATTTACACAACTATATTCTACCCACCTCAAGACTCCGCTCCAATATAGAAGCATCAAGAAATATGGACCAATAGGCTTTCTACAAACACTTCTATTCAATATCCATTGTTTCGTGTTCTGTCTTGTGTTGATGAAATTAATACCCTATTAATACTCTTGTTCTGTCTTGTGTTGATGAAATTAATACCCTATTAATACCACACCTTGTTCTGTCTTGTGTTAATGCCACATCACCCCTTCCACCTCACTCAAATGTAGATATAAAATCGGAGATGCGTAAGTTCTATTCAGTTGTGTATTGGTGAACTAAAGTGTTTGAAAATGTAATAAGTTTTACGAAACGCGCTCGTGTCGCGTCAGACTAGAAATAAAAATTAATTTTGGAGAATTGATTTTTGATTTACCTCCAACAGTGAAACGAAATGTACGAAAGATTGAGAAAATTCGTGTTAGAATTATTAATCTTACTTTTTCGGCCATATTTAATAATATGTCTACAGGAAAGACTGCTACCAAAATATACTAATATATGTATATATATATATATATATATATATATATATATATATATATATATATATATATATATATATATATATATATATATATATATATGTGTGTGTGTATATCACGAAAATAAACACGTGATTAAGAATGTGACAATGTCAGACCACGGAGGAAAAATGAAACAGGAAATTTCCTTAAGTACTTTCGTATATTAAATACATCTTCAGAAGGAAGATGTATTTATCATCTCCTTCTGAAGATGTATTTAATATACGAAAGTACTTAAGGAAATTTCCTGTTTCATTTTTCCTCCGTGGTCTGATATATATATATATATATATATATATATATATATATATATATATATATATATATATATATATATATATATATATATATATATATATATTTATGTATATTCATATTTAAATGTAATATATATACTTATATTATGTAAACATTGTTTTTAACTTGTTATCCAAAAAGGTCAGTCTTATTTAGTGTAGTATGATAACTGAGTCGTTTCCAATAGTATAATTACAATTATTTGAACAATGGGAAACGCATATAAATCCTTAAACTTTTAGTGAGAAACTGACAATTTTCATTAATATTTTAACAGTAGGTACTCACAAACTGAAGCAAATATGTTATAAATTTACCTTGTTTCACAGATAATTACCTAACAGATGCATTATAGTAATAAAATAGTTGCTCTGTGCATTTATTAATAATATAGGTAACTAAATCGATGTTACTAATGTGTTGGTGGGTGACAGTACCCGGAGGTGTGGGTGGAGACGCCCGCCCGAACACGCATCGCCCAGTGGAAGAACGTCAACAACACCGCCGGACTCCTCCATCTCGACTTCGACCTCGCTGACGAGCCCGAGAAGGTGAGATAATGAGGGGTGGGATGGGTGAGAGGAAAGGTGGGAGGGTAAGAGGTAATTAGTTTGGGAGAGAAGGTGAGAGTGAGAGATAGGGTGGACGGGAGGAAAGGTGCGATATGGATAGAGAGGTGTGAAACAGAGGAACTGGCAGTGACAAGGAAAATAGACCGTAAAAAGCGACACTCGTGCAGTATAAAGTGGTTGCGAGAGAATGTGTAAAGAAATGGGATAAAATGCTCTTGCTAAATCTCTCTTTCCCATCGTGGTCAGTTATACTCGTCACCTTCAACGGGACTGAGACGATTTCTTCTAAAAATCACATTAGAGAAGCCCATGACATCACCCTAAGAAGTGAAATGCTGAATAAAAAACACTTACATATTAGACAAAACCCTAGATGTTAAAAAATTACAAATTCTTGGTGCCCCTCCACATTAAAATCGAATAACCAACCCTAAATACTCAAATAACGGAACTATTCACTTTACTAACCATGAGAATGAGAACATGACTGGAACGCGAGAGCCGTTCCAGTCATGTTCGGACAGTAACGATGACGTTACTGCCCAAAACGCTACGCCCACTTCACTTGACTATTCTTTGTATGTATGGGTAATAGACCCATGCCTCTTACCTTTATTCCTGACGCCTCACCTAATTATATGTACCTGACTTCCCAGCAGCATAAATCCGATAAGTTCTCTCCTATCTCTTGAGTTCCTGAATCATGCAGTGGCCACCCTGAAGCCATCAACACAGCCACTCTCCTGGTCAACAAAGGTGTCCAGCAGCTGGACACCCTCATAAAGACTGTGAAGCAGTATCCTCCCCCACGATAACAGCTTGATGGTTAAATGCAACCTCAGAACACTGGGAAAAAAAAAAAAAAAAAAACTTACGGGCTATTCATGCCCGTGCCACCTCTTGGGTGGCTTAATCTTTATCAATCAATCAATCAATCCTATCTCTAGGAAACCTTCAATAGTTATTCCAGTGCGGCAAGTCATCTAATTTCTAACGAAAACAACGCAACTTCTCCGGGGAACTACAACTGAACTACAAGAGTAGTGACTTTGTTCTTAGATTTATGCACTTCCTGGATGCTAATTACCAATGTCAATAGAACAAATTATTGTTTTAAGAACAATATTTTTGTGAACACCACGAAATGCTCACAATTTTTTTGTTTTAATATTTTAAAGGTGAGCAGTGCAGCGGTAAAGGGTCCTGAGGATTCAGCTGAATTCCAGGATGCTTTGGTTTTAGTTTAAAACTAGGTATAATAGACAAGAAAGACAGGGGTCATAGCTTTAAATAACCGGCAGCTAGAAAGGCGGTAACCATGAGCCAAAACTCGTTTCTTCAAGCATAAATAGGTGAGTACAAATTGGTGAGTATTTGTACTCACAAATACACACACACACACACACACACACACACACACACACACACACACACAACAACATGGCAGTTAACACTAAAATTGAGAGGGCAGCCTCTGCTGCCTGTAGAAATAGATCCCACCTGCTCATCATGAGGGACTTCAATCACGGCAGGATTGATTGGGAGAACAAGGAACCGCATGGAGGCAAGGATACGTGGAGAGCCAAACTACTGGAGGTGTTGACTAGAAACTTCTTAACCCAGCATGTCAGAGAACCCACAAGGATGAGAGGAAATGACGAACCAGCGAGACTCGACCTGGTCTTCACCCTGAACGACTCTGACATAAGAGAAATCGGTTTTGAGGCCCCACTAGGAATGAGCGACCACAGTGTATTGGTGTTTGAGTACCTGATTGAAGAAGGGTTATTGAACTCGAGGAGGGATACCGAAAGCAAAAGGTTAGCATACCGAAAGGGAAACTATGAGGAGATAAGAAAATTCCTAACAGATATAGCATGGGAAACAGAGCTCAGGGATAAGACGGCCCAAGATATGATGGACTACATCACGCAAAAATGCAAGGCCGCAGCAAACAAGTTTGTCCCAGTCCAAAAGGGAAACAGTGAAATGAAGATGAGAAACCCATTGTTTAATCAGACATGTAGGCTAGCTAAGCAGCAAAGTAAAAGGGCATGGAGAAACTATAGGAATACCAGGACACTGGAGAGCAGAGAAAGATACCAGAATGCCAGGAATGAATATGTCAGGATGAGAAGAGAGGCAGAAAGACAATACGAAAATGACATCGCAAGCAAGGCAAAAACTCAGCCTAAATTGCTGCATAGCCACATCAGGAGCAAAACAACAGTAAAGGAACAGGTTATGAAATTAAGGATAGGGGCAGAAGGATTCACTACAAACGACAAGGAAGTGTGTGAGGAACTGAATAAGAAATTCCAAGAGGTCTTCACCTTAGAGCAAGGAGAAATCCCAGAGATAAGAGAGGGAATAGCTAACCAGGAACCACTGGAAGAGTTTGAGATTACCAGCGGGGAAGTAAGGAAGTGTTTACTAGAGTTGGATGTGACAAAGGCTATAGGCCCAGATAGAATCTCCCCTTGGATACTAAAGGAAGGAGCAGAAGAACTGTGCCTCCCACTCTCCATAGTGTATAACAAATCACTGGCAACAGGGGAACTGCCAGAAATTTGGAAAGCAGCTAACGTAGTCCCGATATACAAGAAAGGGGATAGACAGGAGGCACTGAATTACAGGCCAGTGTCCCTAACTTGCATACCATGCACGATGATGGAGAAGATTGTGCGAAGAAAGCTAGTGGAGCACCTGGAGCGAAAGAACTTTGTAACACAGCATCAACATGGATTCAGGGATGGCAGGTCCTGCCTCACAGGGTTACTTGAATTCTACGACCAGGCAACAAAAATAAGGCAAGAAAGAGAAGGGTGGGCAGACTGCATATTTTTGGATTGTCAGAAAGCCTTTGATACAGTGCCACACAAGAGGCTAGTGAAAAAACTGGAGATGCAGGCTGGAGTGAAAGGGAAGGTACTCCGTTGGATACAGGAGTACCTAAGTAACAGGAGACAACGAGTCAGTGTGAGGGGTGAGGTCTCAGATTGGCGAGACGTTACGAGTGGAGTACCGCAGGGGTCGGTCCTTGGACCTATACTGTTTCTGATATATGTAAATGATCTCCCAGAAGGTATAGAATCGTTTCTCTCAATGTTTGCCGATGATGCAAAAATTATGAGGAGGATTGAAACTGAGGACGATAGTAAGAGGCTACAAGATGACCTAGACAGACTGAGTGAATGGTCCAACAAATGGCTGTTGAAGTTCAACCCGAGTAAATGCAAAGTAATGAAAATAGGCAGTGGAAATAGGAGGCCAGATACAGGATACAGAATAGGAGATGAAGTACTTAATGAAACGAACAGAGAGAAAGATCTAGGAGTTGATATCACACCAAACCGGTCTCCTGAAGCCCACATAAAGAGAATAACGTCTGCGGCATATGCGAGGCTGGCTAACATCAGAACAGCCTTCAGGAACCTGTGTAAGGAATCATTCAGAATCTTGTACACCACATATGTAAGACCAATCCTGGAGTATGCGGCCCCAACATGGAACCCGTACCTTGTCAAGCACAAGACGAAGCTGGAAAAAGTCCAAAGGTATGCCACTAGACTAGTCCCAGAACTAAGAGGCATGAGTTACGAGGAAAGGCTGCGGGAAATGCATCTTACGACACTGGAAGACAGAAGAGTAAGGGAAGACATGATCACAACCTATAAAATCCTCAGAGGAATCGACCGGGTAAACAAGGATAAACTATTTAACACTGGTGGGACGCGAACAAGGGGACACAGGTGGAAACTGAGTACCCACATGAGCCACAGAGACGTTAGAAGGAACTTTTTCAGTGTCAGAGTAGTTAACGGATGGAATGCATTAGGCAGTGATGTGGTGGAGGCAGACTCCATACACAGTTTTAAATGTAGATATGATAGAGCCCAGTAGGCTCAGGAATCTGAACACCAGTTGATTGACAGTTGAGAGGCGGGACCAAAGAGCCAAAGCTCAACCCCCGTAAGCACAAATAGGTGAGTACAAATAGGTGAGTACACAGGCAGTTGTAGCTGGTAAGGTGCTCCAGTGGATAAGCGAGTACCTGAGCTTCCTATTGCAGAGAGTTACGGTGAGGGGTGAGACCTCAGATTGGCGTGAAGCCACCAGTGGAGTCCCACAGTGCTCTGTGCTCGGTCCTATCTTGTTTCTGATATATGTAAATGATCTCCCGGAGGGTATAGATTCATTTCTCACAATGTTTGCGGACGATGCCAAAATTAAGAGAAGGATTAAGACAGAGGAGGACTGCTTGGGGCTTCAAAAAGACCTAGACAAGCTGAAGGAATGGTCAAGCGAATGGTTGTTAGAGTTTAACCCAAGCAAATGTAATGTAATGAAGCTAGGTGTAGAGAGCAGGAGGCCAGTTACAAGGTACCATCTGGGAGATGAAATACTTCGAGTCAGAGAAAGAAAAAGACTTGGGGGTTGCTATCACGCCAGACCTGTCTCCTGCAGCTCATATCAAGAGGATAACATCAGCGGCATATGCCAGGCTGGCCAACATAAGAACGGCATTCAGAAACTTGTGTAAGGAATCATTCAGAACTTTGTATACCACATATGTTAGGCCAATCCTGGAGTATGCAGCCCCAGCATGGAGTCCATATCTAGTCAAGGATAAGACTAAACTGGAAAAGGTTCAAAGGTTTGCCACCAGACTAGTATCCGAGCTGAGAGGTATGAGCTACGAGGAGAGACTACGGGAATTAAACCTCACTTCGCTGGAAGACAGAAGAGTTAGGGGGAACATGATCACCACATTCAAGATGCTCAAGGGAATTGATAGGGTAGATAAAGACACTCTATTTATCACAAGGGGCACACGCACTAGGGGACACAGGTGGAAACTGAGTGCACAAATGAGCCACAGATATGTTTGAGAGAACTTTTTTAGTGCCAGAGTGGTTGACAGATGGAATGCATTAGAAAGTGATGTGATGGAGGCTGACTCCATACACAGTATCAAG